GAGGCGATTGTTTGGCCATTTGGTCAGGAGATAGCATTTAACTGAGCTCAGTATCTTATCACTTTCAGTTACCTTCTTGATAGCTTCAAAGGTTACTGGGAGTCCATTAACTGCGTCATCCAACACGCGATGAACTTCTTCCTCGGCTTTTATATTTGCAACAAGAGTCTCCTCTGGGGTTTTCAATTGGGAGCCTATTAATCTCGACAATGCGTCAGCTTGTCCGAAAGCAGTAGTAGACTGATACTTGATCTTGAATTCGTAACCCAGAAGCGTGGTCGCCCATCGTTGTAGTCGGTTAGCTGTATGAACAGGAATTCCTTTCTTTGACCCAAAAACCGCAAGTAGTGGCTTATGGTCTGTTATTAGGGTAAAATGTCGACCATATATCATCTTGTGGAACTTTTTCACTGCAAAGATAATTGATAGGGCTTCTTTCTCGATTTGGCTATAGTTCCTTTCGGTCGTTGTCAAAGATCTAGCAGCGTGTGAGATAGCTTTTTCTGACCCATCAGGAAAAATGTGAGAGATAACTGCGCCCACACCATAGTTAGAAGCATCTGAAGCGACGACTATCGGTAGAGAAGGATCATAATGTGTTAATAAGAGATCGGAAGTTAAGAGTTGCTTGATTTTCTCAAAAGACGCTTGGCAGTTTGCAGACCAATCCCATCTTGTATTCTTTTGTAGTAGGTTGTTTAGTGGAGCACGTAGACGATGGAGATCGGAGAGAAAGGTACCGTAATGGCTGACCAATCCCAAGAATGATCGTAGGGTAGTAACGTCCCTGGGTCTAGGCATTGTTTTCACCGCTTTAATGTTCTCTGGATCTGGTCGTCTTCTGTCTTTATCTATTATGAACCCAAGGTACCGTACTTGCTGCATATAGAAGTCACATTTCTCTGGACGAAGTCGAAGTCCATGTTCGGCTATTCGCGTCAGCACCTGGTCGAGCTTCTTTTCTAAGTCTACTCCATCTACTCCCATAATTATTATATCATCTAAGTAAGCTGCAGCACCTGAAACATCTTGTAGCATAGTATCCATTACTTGCTGAAATATGGATGGGGCCGTCTTTACTCCGAAGGGTAGTCGATTATACCGGAATAGACCCTTGTGTGTGTTTATGGTAAGCAAGTTTTTAGACTCCTCAGCAACAGGGATTTGTAAATAAGCTTCTGATAAATCCAACTTTGCAAAAAGCTTACCTCCGTTCAGTTTAGCAAAAAGATCTTCAGGTAAGGGTAATGGATACTGATGAGTTTCTAAAGCTTCATTCAAACCGGTAGAGTAATCGGCACATAAATGAACGTTGCCATTAGTCTTCTTTACTACTACTATCGGTGCGGCCCATTCTGAGAAACTCACTGGTTCAATGACACCTAGTTTCTGAAGTCGTTCTAGTTCTTGTTCAACCACTGGTAGAGCAGCATATGGTACGGGTCTCTTAGGTCGAAAAACGGGAGTAGCTGCAGGCTTTAGAGTTAACAGTGCTTTGGCCTTCGTACATTCTCCCAATCCTTCTCTAAACACGTCTTGGTGTCTTTTTAACATAGCGCTTTTCTGGCTCCCCACTGGGGTGTTGTCTGTACTTACTCGTCTGCAGATGCTGTTGATAGAATGATCAGCTAGTTTAAGCGTTTCTATAAGATCCAACCCCATTAAGTCTAGTGCTGGCTTCTTAGTAAGATACAATGTTGCATTTGTTGTTACCATACCTTTAGAAACAGTGCATATCACTTCTCCGACAATATGTAACTTCCCCCCGGATGCACTGTGCGCCAGCTGTGTCGTTGGGAAAATTGTGGGTCTTCCGATGTTCTTCCATGTTTCAGGGCTGATTAAGGTAATATCAGAAGCTGTGTCAAGCTGAAGGCGGGTTCGGCGTTTATTCATATTCAAGGTCACATACTTTCTTTGGTGGCAACTTTGTGCTCTGTTATGTGATACCAATATCTTGTTGATTGGAGCACTATATCTGTATTTCTTCGAGTAAGGTTTCAAAGAATGTTGTTTATGGGTTCTTTTTCTGCAGCAGTTTTCTCTATGACCCTTCCGATGACATTTGATGCAACGATGTTCTTTATATGGGCAAAACCTCTTATAGTGCCAACCTCCACATGCCCAGCATGGAGATGGTGGTTTGTCGCTGTTATTTCGATAATTATGGGTACTGGAACTTTGATAGACTTTTCTCTTGACTGCATTAACGTTATGGAAAGAGTTACCTTTTCCTACCATTGAAGTATCATGCTTTAAGTTTACTAACCTTTGGCACTCAGCAGTCACTTCTTGCAGGGTCATGTTTGGACAGTGTTCAAGTTTGCTTAGGATTCTTGTTCGGATTTCAGCATCTTCGGGTGAACTCAGGCTGCAGATAAATACTAAGCATTTGAACTGATCTTCCGACATGGACGACAATTTGAACCTCTCACACTCTCGGTTCACAGTTCCTGCATGCTTCACCCAGTCATCGCCTGGTTCTTTCGTTAACTTTAAGCACTGGTAACGGATATTAAATAGCGATGATTGTTCTCCGAAGATTTGGGACGGGGTTTTGACTGTATCATCAAAACTAAAATCTCGTGGGTTCTTCGGAAGAATGAAATTGCTATAGCGTTCATGTTCCATAGTCCCAAGTTTTCTAAGAAGTATTCTCACTTTTGAAGCATCATCCAGTTTGCAAAGATCAATATAAAACAAATCTTCATACTTCTTAAACCAGGACTCGAAAGTTACACCTGCTAAACCATCAAAATTAAATTCATGGATGGCGTTAATGACTGAATCAATATGTGATACTTGAGATTCACTAGGAGCAGGATTTTGCTGGGACAGGCAGAATTTCTGCATCAGGGTTTCCATGATTCTAATTTGGGACTCTTCAAATCTCTTTTCTTGACGCACCATATAGGCTTCTAATTGCTCCAAAGAAATATTCATTGTGGTTTTCATACCCGTCGCCACTGATAAGTCTTGTCAATTGAACGCTATACTTGTTCCTAAGCTATTCAGGCAACCCACAGTCTAGAACTACACAGCGACTTGAACACCAGAGAGAAGACAAAAGTATAAGAGAAAATACTTTATCCCAAGATTCATTTTTGTACAGAAAATCATGGGTATTTATAGATTTTGGCGTCTGTTAAATCAACATCATTTTACAGCCAATCCGATAACAACATATTATGCTACCGACCAATAGTAGAACGCCACGTTGGAATTCTAGAACGTTCCATCACACTCTGATTGGCTAGGACTCTTCGGCTCCTTGTGGGCCTCTGGAGGCTCCGTTGAAGTTCTCCGGAAGCCGACCCAACAATTATATTAAACTTCTGACTTCATCGTTTTGAAGATATATTCCGTGCCAAATGCCCAAATCTGGATGATTCAGCTGAAGTGCACTTCTGAGAAAACTTGGTGTCCCAAAATCTTCTGGATTTACCTTTTGATGACACAGTAAAAATATTATCTGAACGTTTTGAACAAAAGTCTTCGCTATGCAATATTCACTATCCGAGTTTTCAAATATCGAAATACGCATCAGATGATTATCTCACCTATGCTGGAAAGTAAAGAGATTTTGAACTAAACAAAATCACAGAGAGTCAATGTATGTACCTGATTTTTACCCGTAAGTTAGAAAATCTAGAAGAATTGGATATCCTCACCTGAATCCTTACTCGCATTGAGCAATAATCTAACACTGTTTTGCAGATGGCCACAAACGAGTGTCAAGGTTTATAAAATCTCAAACATGATGCCGCGAAGGTACAACAAAGGTGGAACATTCTGGTTTAGAGTCATTAAACGCAATTAAATCCTCTCTGAACAAAACAAAAGGAAAACATAACAACATGCTGACGATTCTCTATCACCATGTTGGTTTTGTGAAGCATGTCATTTTGTTAAGTTCATTTCGTTCAATAATCATAGGTGCCGCCACTGTCATCACATTGGTTATAAAGAATTTCGCTGTCCATCAAATAAACGCCAGTCAACATGTCGTAGCTGTAATCGAGAGCACGTTGGATTTCAAAGGGAACGGAAGTATGTAAACGCATTATTGAAAATCCTATTTGTTTTCAGACAGACACGGATTGCTACATTACATTGATTCCCAACAACACTTTTATCTCCCCATATTCAAACAACAGAATATATTACCCGAAATGCTTCAGGAGATAAATTGAGTCTAACAGGAGGATTCAAGTACGGAGCGCAATTTCAAAGAAAAGAAAGCTTTCAAATGTTTTTGAGAGTTATGGTCACTTCGTCGATGATTCAAATGCTACGAACGTTTCGGATGCTTCATATTTTTTTACCCCAAATATGTAAGACCACATCTTGGGTACTACATTCAAGTGACTAGCTTATTTCGCTTAAGAGATGGCAAGACAATTGAGGGCGTTCGACGTTTGGGGACAAAGTTAAGGAAGGGTCACTCAAAACTTCTTGACAGTGATTGCTTAAAACGCCTGGACATATGCCGCTTATCACGTCGTAGAACGCAAAGTGACCTTATAATGATACTGAATATCATTGGTAACGATTCGGGTCTTAACGTGCCTCATTATTTCGCTTCCTATGGAACTGATAATCTTGGAAGCCATATCAAGCAATTTAGAAAACCGTGTTCTAATGATCACAGATGGGGTTCCAAATTTTCAATCAAGTAGTCAACGACTAAAACTTCTTACTCAAACATTCTGTATTAGCCCCATCAATGAACATGAATCCACACTCAAAAACAAGCTGCAAGGAATAACATTGGTCCCTCAACCTAATATACTTATTACCAGAGACTGATTAAGAAAATTTACGTGACACACCAAAAACGCAGTGACAGCTGGAAAATGAAAATACTCAAAATACTCGACAATACTTAGCATCTAATCAGAAATATGTTGGTTTTCCTATTTTCATGCCTTACTACATCACTTCGTAGTGGCAAGACAAGCATATAACCCGCCAAGTGAAGGCCAATCATTTTGCGTCAAGGTCGAGCCGGGCGGTGTGTTCGAGTTTTTTTCATTTCATGTGGTGATGTTGCGCTCTCTGTTGGTTTTTGGATGTTCTTCGAAACTGCAAGAGTCATTGCATTAATATACTGCTTGACATACACATGAGCGATTTTCCTGCACCAAATGAACCTTCAGATGTTAATGAGGTAATATTTGTTTTCACTTTTTCTAGCGTATTGCAGTTGTTGCGAATTTCCTCGTCTAAATGTCTACCTAAGAAAACATAAAAACTTTTTTTTACGTTATTTCCTTGTAATATGTACATCTTGCGTCCTTTGTCTTTTCCAATATACCACACCAAATATCCACTTTCCTGATAAGTATGTTAAACGGAAATGATTAGATTTGCGTTGTTTTTTTGTTCAAGTACCTAATTGACGCACAGTTTATTGGTCAGTAGCCAACGCAAAAAAGCAAGCATTTAGATTATTAAGCTTACGGTAGTTTTGTGTAAGGGCTTCTGTTCAGTTATGTTTAATTGATTTCAACTATGCAGCATCCAGAACTTCGTCTTTTATGTTTTACTGGCTGACTTCTCGCGGCGAGGGGTGTTGTTTACGGAGTTTATAGAACGAAAAGCAGATGTCCAACGCTTTAACCGGTTTGGTGGGTATGTAGAATCTACCTATGGGAGTTGGAAAACCCTGATTATCAGCCGGTGGTGCACATAGACTCCAAGATCCTTAGGGAACAAATGGCGTAAGAATCTATTGTCGGTCACTGGATACCATGTGGACTGCATCGCCCAACGTTGCTCCACTCCCTTGTCGATTAAACCTATAGATGTGTATTGTAAAACTAAAAATGTAAGTTTTAATGAAGGGAGGTTTTTGTGTGTATTGTAATTTGGTTGACTTGGTAGATGGAAATTCATGAGTCTTTTCTAAGTGTTGTATATCATGAAACGTGTACCTAGTTTGCCAACGTGGTCACATACGTTATTCTAATATTTGCTGTTACCATTCCTGGGATCAAATAAAATTGAAGGTTGGAAACTGGAAAAACCTCGGTTGCATGTATGTACTACTCTATGGATCCTTAGAAATCAGAAACGACACCTGTCTCAACTTTCTCGCTCACATTATCCACATTGTTACTTATATTTTCAGCTAACGCTCACTATTTATTTTGTAAACATACTGCTTTAAATTGTTTATGTCAGCAGACACAACGTTAGTTTTTTCCTATGTTACAGCTCTTAATATCATGAATATATTACCAACTTAAAACTTGTTTTCCATCCCTTACGTATCTAGTTGCTAAACTGTTAAATTGACGTTTGGCTTTTCTAGCCTATGGCCACTTGCAAACTAACGTTTGGTTGTTATTCTAAGAATAAACGGGTACCAAATCACTGCTCGTATATTGAGCTACAGTTCCGCAAATGAAACGCCTGAATCTCCCGAAAGCACATCATTTTTGATACATTAAGTTAATACAATATAAACTACAAAAATATTTCAAGGTGAAAGAGATGTAAAGTAGTACATTCGAGCTACTTAAATCCGTGACCCGAGGCCCTCATCCACTAACCCATCTAAGATATATGTTATCAAACTTCCAGGACATTTGTAGACCTTAGTGTTAGCAATTATCAGTGGCTTTGTATATTGTTATTATTTTCAAGGGTTTGAGTCTAATGCCGTAAATGTTTAGGAATTAGAGCTGGTGATTTAAGTAGTGTAAAGTCCTTTAAAGCATTTTAATAATGTGGAATAAATTGTGCAGTTTGTAACGATTGCTTTCTTCCATTTGTCTATTTAAAATGGACTTAAATTAATAATAATATTAGCATTTGAGTTGGTCGATATTAAGTGTGGGAAGAAAAATTCTAGCTTTATTGCTACTTGCACTTAGTTCCCTCAATGAATAAACCTTTTAATTATTATGTTTAGATTTTCAGCCATCAGCTTGTTACCAAACCAGATGTATCGACCTATTTATATTTGCTTGGAAATAGTTAACGTTAACTATACGCATCTTTATCATACTGTCTCATCATTTCGACCTCTTTTAAACAATGTGTTCGTTTTCCATGTCTTAATATTTACCAGTTACCGATATTTTTTCAGACAGAACTATTTAATTTGGATAATCTTAGTTATCGAGATGAAGGAAATAATACAATCGTAGTATCCAATACAAAGGTTTGTGAAACTTTCTAAATAAATTATTTTTATAGACTAGTTTGATATTGCGAATTCGGAAAACCAATGTTGGACGAAATGTAAGTAATACTGTCATGTGATTTGTTACCAAGGGTTTTACTTTAGGGATACTGGTCTAAAGCTCACACCAAACGATCTGAGATATTTGCAAATCAGCGTATACTTCTTCAGTTCGGTTCGCAATTTCTTAGCAGCATAGTAAGTTCCTAAGGAATTTATTACTCACTAAATTTAGAGTTCTGTTTTATTTGGGTTTTTATTATTATTATCAGCTTTATTGAGTATTATATTTTTGGTACAATATAGAATCCTCAGCCCAAAGTATTTCAACGTGACGTGTTTTATTTCTTGATCGATATTGATGATAAACAATGAGTGATTGCCAGGTAGATATCAGCATTTCAGAAATTGACATTCTTTTCAGTGCACATTGCCAGTCATCAGGATGTCTCCAATTGTAAATTTTTGTAACTTGTGCAGCGAAAGGTCGTAAACTTTTCACAAACGCACCTGAATAGGTCATGTAATTTACGTAATAATCTGTTAAAACAAACAAGGAATCAGATAACTTCTCGAAATATCTAGATGGCAAAAACAAGTAGCCCAGATATTCAAGCAGGCTGCCTAGGTATTCACTAACCATTCCTTTGTGTTCAAAGCAAATGTGTCCTACTATTTTTAAACTCAGTGGGTATTTTAAAGTTTAAAGTCATAACTATGGCTATAATCATCCGCGTAATATATTAGCAGCAATTCTTCACGTATGAGGTAATAATACCATGGATACTACGATAAAAGTAGACTGCGTGTCAGTCTGTAAATTCACTGTTTGGGTTAAATGAATCCATCCGTTTATGCTAGTCGGCCGATAAAGAAACCAAATAAAGCAATTTAATATGTTGTACATAGCACATTTGGCTGATCGATTATTATCAATCGGGTTTTTTTTTTCCAGCGCATCACCCTCCATTCAGTAGGACCTAGTTTAAATGATTAATTGGTTGTTCTCATACAGTATAAAACTTATGACATTTTTTAGGCAATTAAACATACTAATTGAATTCTATTATTTTGCATATAATGACGATCTTTTTGGAAATAACTAGTTCACTTATCACGTTCGACATTTTATGCGTTAGTACTTTCCAGATAGGTAAAAAGGTTTCCATCACATGACTTTTGTTCGAAAGTGAATAAGCATGTGCTTTAAAACAGATTTCGACTATTGATAGTCCTTGCACTAACTAGCAGTCAATAACAGAACTTTAGTTTGTGCTAATTGATAATTTCACAAATATACTTTCCTATTTTTAAGGAAGATGTGTTTTTTGCGTAGTGGCTATTGTCCACTTATTTTATACATCCACTTGTGTTTTGGATAGTTTTCACTTACTGATCTGCTGGAATACTTATTATTTTATTCACGAGCGTAACAACTTATAAGGTTAGCATCGTATTACTGATTTGACCTTACGTTTTAGAAGATAGTTCTGAGTTTTTATGAACAGGCTTAACTGTTAAAATGATTAACAGAATGCTGGCCGGTAGATTATGCACATTTATACAATATAGCTGATTAATAACGGCTTATTATACTGGATTATTGTCTCAAGCTTCTGAATGGACCGATGTAAAAAGTCAACAGTGATCTGAGGCACAGGTATTTCTTTTAACGAAATTAAATAGTTGTACATGGAGTGTTAAACACAAAAGGGGACATGCTTGAACATTTGTAACAGGTGATTGAAAGTTTTCGGTTTTGTATGCCACTTAAGAGCGAATGAAGTTACAATGTGGCCCCTTGCTATTATATATATATATATATATATATATATATATATATATATATATATATATATATATATATAACTTTTAGTCCTTATGTGTTATATTCACTACACTTCTTTCTTATTCCTAATAACATAATTATGGTTTGAATTTGCATTTTAGCATCTCATCAAAACAAGTCCAACATTTCTTCGTGAACTAGAAAAATCAATCGAACCTTTTAGACCCGGTAAATGGTTCTTCATAGTCTTTTTTCTTTTTTTATTGTACAAATGATATTCTATGATGTATTTAAATTTGAATGAAAACATTAAACCTTTAACATTGCTTTTTTAACGATCAGATGTTCTCTCGAGGATGACTTTTTCCATTGAATGTACTAACTGGATTATTTTCCCAATGAATAGACTGATATTTTCCAGATTACAAAGTGCTTTCGGAAACTTATTGTTTATATATCGCGATTATAGCTGTACCGCTCAACTCTTCAGGAAAAGTCTTCGAAGTCATAAGCTTCTTCGTGTTTAATGAGTTCAGACAGCCATCTTTTACAAATATCGCTAAATGAATAAGTTATCGTAAGTCTGTCTTGCTATGCTATACGCTTGTGATACTTAGTATGATTGTCAGTTTGTTTGTGAGGCGAATTTTAATGTCAAACGGGACTTGAAATTTAGTATTATACACCAGGATTAATTCCTTCCTTACCTGCCTGATAGGTGTAATTAAACCAATTTCCAACAAATTGGGAGAAAGTGCAGAAAGATCATTGACAATAAACCTATCTAAATCGACCCAGATAACGCTCTCGGGGATCCAGATGACTTGTTTTGTTTAATGTGCATTTCTATCACCTCTCGAAACAGTTCTCATATCTGGGTATCAAATGGAGAACTGAGAGATTCTATCTATAATCGAGATTTATTTCAAAAATATATGCTAATACGAGACTGATCAATTGCAGTCCTGAGCATCAATTAGAAAATGCAAACAAACGATACAAAAATGCATTAAGGATTTATTTCATTTGAAACAAATAGAAATTGTTTCTCATCCCAGATGCAGTTGCGAGAACTGTAAACAGAGATGATAAAACGACGTTGTTTCTCTGACAACTCCCTAATTGTTCTGACGTAATCATCATAAACAATTATAAAAAATTAACCAAGTAGAACTATATTTCCCTTGGTACTTGATATTACCCCAACATCAACTTGGACTAACACGGATTATACATGTTCCGTAGCTCGAAAAATTAGGTTTTTAACCCTACTTCACGAGTCTTCTGAATGCAGAACCGCATAATACAACAAGTTAAGAGCTGAGTTTTTCTATTGTTGCAACCAAAACTACCGCTTTTCCGAAAGGTATATTACATTATTGAGGGCCAAAATAAAATTCATTTAACCTGCAGAATATTAATTTACAGGAAACTATATATGTTTGCCAGTAGTTTCTGTACACAATGCTAAACTGCGTGTATTATGTGTGAATGTGGTCTCCATTGTGTGAAAAATCAGCAAATGGAGAAGAATTCCAAAATCGCTTTCGGCAGTGAGGGTGTAGTGACTGTACTTTATTTCAAAACTCCAAATCCTTATATCCTTGATGTCTCCTCAAATATCCTCCTTTACATTGCTTTTTTTCACTACAGCCTACCGTAAAGTCAAAGGAGTGGACCTTTCTGAAAATTTCGTTTTTGTCACATCAGATGCTACACAGATGCCATCACATCTTGTGAAATATGCATTCGGTCCAACTTTAAGCGTAGAAATCAAGGTAATAATCATATTCTTCTAATACTAATATATTTTAGTTATTAAGGAGTTAGTTATCAAGTTGGTAGTTTAATTATGAAACATATTGTTTTTAATTAAACAAGAAAAACGGTTCAGGTTGTTCAGGTTATACTAGAGTTTTCAAGCAAATTCTATGCAAAAGATTGCTTTGATAAAGTTAAATTAGTTCCTGTGAACGTTCCTATTCAAAAAATATGCTTAGCCACCGCGTTATCTGACAGTTTTCATTTAATTGACTACGAATAATTTCCATAATTATTGTGTGCACTAGCTACGTGTCATGGAGCATTATTTTCAAAACAAATTCGAACTACTGCTTGCGGTAATCTGCCAAAGCTTCGATAACATTAGTCATCGGTGTCTTCATGTGAACTTACATCGAAGCTTATCTCCAAGATATATATTAGCACTTGTTAGTGAAAATGAAATGAAAAATTGTCGTTTTGACTTCATGCGGCTGATATCTTTATATTCAGCAGTGCTATGGCCAATGTCCTCTCTTTTGTGCTTTACTGATGCCATTATTTAAATTACTGTATCACTTAATTTATTTACAACTTTAAAATCATATCGGTAATGGCAGATCTAGTAGCTGTTGTAATACGACTGCTCTGAAATTCATTAGTGTATAATCATTTCTGTCTACATATTCTTTCAATTAAAACACCAAATACATAAAGTATCTCAACCGCTTTTAGTAAAATATTTAGTTAGCTACTGAAATATGAGGCGTAAAAATGTTCGTAGCGCTGATTAGGAACTACTCAGTTTCAAACATTGTAATCCTTTATTAACCACCGAATACGTTTTAGAAAACTGAACTATCAGCAAGCCAACTAAGCATGTAAACATATCGTACAGAATTTAAGCCATTGAGATGTAAAATATGTGACCGAAATCAGTTGACCGTGTTACTTAGCAATTACTAATTGATTAATCAAAAATAAAAGTATGAACGTTAAAAAACAACTAGTGTTCATTACTTTGCTTGTTTTCTAAACTCATATTCAGTTGGTAAATTTTCATATTTCTGTTCATAGTTCACTGGTCTCTAAGCCCGTACTAACTTTAAACAAATATTTATATTCAGAGAACTGCATATGCCATGTGGATTTGATATTTTTCCCTTTGCAGCCAAAGTTTGGTGCTATCCCAATATGGCCTGCTACTGGAGTCGTCAATCTAGTTAAAAACTCCGCTTCACTTTTCTGTTTAAGGCAAGAACATTCTGTGAGTTTTCATAAATTTCAATCGATGTAGATGTTTGTTGTCTTCCCTTCCTTTCAATGTTTCCCTTCAGGTTCCTCTGTTTAATTCACATGTATTATATATATATATATATATATTTCATCCTTTGTCTCAAGAGATCATGTCTATTGCCTTGTTTTTTACTTTATTTCTAGTTTGTCATAAATTCTTGTTCTTTCGTTTCATTACCATGGACACGGTCTTGTGTGGACTGGGTTTTTTGAACAGACAAATATTTTCCCTTAGTCGTATATACATTCATCCTAGATGTTTAAGTTATCTTTCACTTGGGAACCATGGACAGTAATTAGCTCATTGTTTTTTGAAGTTCATCAACTCAATCCTTATCTGTCACACGATAAAACATAATGCTGTTGCATTCATAAAATGTTGTACCACGTTTCCTTAACGTCAGTTGCTACCTGACTACTTCAATTCCAGATTCATTGCATTATAAATCTGACTTTCTAATGTTGACTGTTTCGCTAATAATTAACAAGATGTAACAAATTATAGAATCAGCTTTGATGATTTGCTTATTGATAATTGATTTCAAATACTTGCTTTCACTTGTTTTATACGTTCGTAATCCTCAATATTTTAAAAAGGAGTGAATAATTATTAAGGATGCATGTTAAGCACTAGCAGGAGTCATGTGCACTCGTATTAGTTTGGTATTGTAGATATGTTCGAAAATTGACCAATAGTTTCTCGATGTTTCGAAATAAACTAGACGATTAAAGTGTTTACCGCATTAACATATACCTGAATTTTCCAGCACAAGAGCGATTTTATTTATTAAAGTATATTTTATACTGTACAAAAATAAATGTTTAGATTTTCGGTGTTGTATTACCAGTTTTTTAAGTTTCTACTTTGTTTATTTTCAGAGTAAACGATCACGTTGGAAAGATCTGTCAACATATTGTCCTTGTGACCTATTTTCTGGGTTAGTGTTTACATATACTTTATACTTGTTCTGACCTCATTTTCTAACGAATAATCATTCTATACTTGTATATTTAGCATCATCAATTATTCCACTCGTAATGTAATCGTATAGATTACAAGAAATTTCTTATAATTTAATTCCGATTTCAAGTTAATAAATTTACCTCGTTAACCATATCAGGATTTAACCTAACCAATGTTTGTAAGTAGTTTTTCATATATATTTAAGCATTCCTTCTGACAATCAATAAGCTGTGATTTTGGACCGCTTATACGTCTAATCACTCTTTGATTTTGTCGATATATTTTAAGAGCTATACCTTGGTGAAATCGTGACCATTAATCCTACCAAAATGAAGTAACAAACCATCACAAATCCCCTGAATTGGTCAGTGTGTTTATTCTCAACTTTTGAAAACAAATTTTAACTCTACAAAATAACTGTATCCCTGAGACATTGTGTCTTCAAAGTAGGATTAATTATTCAACATTATTTATTTTGCCCCATGGGTGGGTGAATCCAATATGTGCTAGTTAAGCATGGTTTAGTTCTTTGGGTTATTTCTTGCGACTGTAGATTAAGGGCTGGTATTTTAGTCATAATAAGATGTTGATAAGCTACCTAAAATCGTGGATTCAGCTTAATAACAAATCATTCAAATATTTCTAAAACTGTCCTTTAGAAATAGTTGCAGTTATTCTGATATAATCACTTATCCTTCATTGTAAAATGATTTAAAATTATCTGTTAATAGGAAAATATACGGTTTTATTACTTTAGGCTTGACCACAAAGTAAGTTGACTTCCTCGTTCAGTTCATTCATATATGGTCTTATTATACAAGTAACAATTATCTTAAAAACTGATAGTCATTAGAACGATGTGTTAACATATATGATTGGATTATGTATTTGAGATGTTAACCTAATTGGTATTTATATGGTCAGGATCATATTTTTCACTTTTTTAGTATATTGAATTTCATGTATCTGGTTATTTTCATATTTCATCATTTTTACTGAAAATAATTTAGTGATCATGACCGGCTGGTACATGGTTTAAATGCTCTACTGACTACGCCCCAAAATAATTTTCGAGTTTACTTGGTAAGTCAAATAAAGTCTATCTCGGTGTTTCCGTGATCTTATTACTAAGTTTTGACGTCGTTATTACAGTGTTTTAAGTTAACATATTCTTCAAAACATAGATTACATTTTCGAATTGTTCTCTACTCGAGTGCGACGCTTCTGTTCATAAAATATCAGAGTCTAACTCTTCACTTAAAGGGAAGTTTTCGTGCTTGTAATTTTTCACTTTTTCAAAGCAGGTTATGCACTAGCTTTTTAATCCTAGCTACCACTGACTCAGTAAAATTTTCATCAAACCATCATGATGCTTTATTAATGAAACTGAAGTTCAAGTGATGTTTTTCTGTCTCATTAATGCTGTAACAAATAAAGCATCTCACATTTGTTCACGATAACGAGAATGTCTAAATCCGTCGTGTCTTACGAACTTTAAGCAGATTTCATTAAAAGATGTACTGTCAAAAAAACACGTCCTGTTTTTCCATACGATAATTAAGGCAGGTATCAACTTTTATGTTGTTATTTTCTTCTGTTTGCAAAAGTCTTGCTTCATTCCTTCTGAACGTTTTCCTATACTACTTTTCTTAAATGCTGCCTGTCAGCAGTTTACCCAAGCACCCATCTGTTCTAATTCGATGTCTCACTAAATGTACTGGAAACTCGTCATAAATTTTTGAGCAGACTTCCTTGGTATGGTTCTCAAGGTGTCAAAATTAGTGATTGAGAACTCTTAGCAAAACTTACTATCATATCCGTTATACGGAGGTGCGTTATCTTTGTAGCCTAATAATGTTGTTTGTTTTCTACTTTCCCTTCCTGATAGTTTAAATTTTGAAGTTGATTTCATCTGTGTGTTGCAAAAAGGTGTCACAACACAGGTCAGTTCACTATCAAAGCTATCTTAAATTGTAAACTGCAGTGTGTCGAATACATCACGCATTCTACCTTTTGTTTATCAGTTCTTCTTGAACATCCAACGAGATGTCCAATTATATTTGATCGTAACATGAAACATAAATATTTAGAAAGCACATTGTACCTTGTGGTTAGCTCCATGTCAGTAGTTTGATACATTATCAAATAATCTTCGGAATGAAATTTATATATGTATGTGTACGTTCACATCACTTTCTTTTTTTCATCATTACTGTGTAAACAGGCAATCTCATTATTCGCAGTTCCATAACTGGGTAAAACCCATTTAACAAAGCTCACCGTGATTGCTCTCATAATTTAAAATACACAGCCACTAAAAATAAAACACTTAATACCAGCTTAAAATGTCAGTAACATATACTGCTTGTCGAAATTGACTAATAAGGTCTATCTTCACTAGCCATTTCTCATTTAATGTGTGTAGAGGCGTAAAATTTGCTGAAAGTAGTACTGGATAGAAATCTTCTGCTAACAACTTATCGACTTGGTATCAGTTGACACCAGAACACTAACTACTTTTATGTATGAGACTTAGATTTCAAATGTTTGTTATATGTTGTTCGATAGATAAACGTCTGTCGTCTCTTAGTTCAAGTCATCATTTTCCAACAACCAAGTACCGGTCTTTTTAACCCACGTACATCATCACTTACTTGATCATTACTATTTGTACTATTATATGCGCTGCTGTTTTACTATTTAAAATATTATTTTCACGACATTCATATTGGTAAGTAACAGTTTTTTATTAATATTGCTGTCATATATATATTCAGATAAGTAGATAATGAGTTCCTTATAAGTGCTGAAAGTTTCTTTTTTATTATGTAGGATAGTCATCCTATTTATTCTCACGACGTAGATAAACTAGATTATGGCTTGAATAAATTTTTTCACTTGGAACATAATTCAGTTTCTTCAAGTAAACAACAAAGTGAACTTCCTAATGGTTTTGATCATAGGAATGTTTGTAGTTGGTAAGTTTCTTCATTTCGTTTATAATGATAGGTTTATTCATGTGGTTTTTTAGCGACCGTATATATATATAATTTATTTTGTAGTATAAAGCAATAAACCGTTAGTTAAGTGAAACGTTTCGAATGAAGGTAATGTCTCGCTTAATTTAATCAATATTAATGTTTATTTTCACAAATTAAGTCCATTTTTGTGAAGAAAAGATCGTGTTATCTAGTTGTTTTTTTATTACAAGTTAGTTCTCTCTCTTTCAAAGACAGTAACATATTCTGTTACCTGATTAGCTATCATCGCTTTTAGTTAGATAACTTTATGATGTGCCTTGCGGTCATTGCTTGTTACAGTAACAAAAGTTAAATCTCTTCAAATTTGATTTTTCTACTGAATACAAAGTTATCCTAAACTTTTCGTCTTTTCCCTCTTCATTGGCGTATGCATTATTAACGTTGAAATGTTTGTTGTGTGACAGACATCTTATTTGGGACTCATCACCTAGACTTAAGTTCCAGAGCCGATTTTCACCACTGGACTTCAACCTAGTAACGTTCATTTCAAACACCATTGCGTTATCCACTTATCTACTGAATCCAGGTAGCCACTTGTACAACCGGTATAAAATGTCATTCATTTTAAAATGGTTCTGATTATCTTGTCATTAGTTCAAGTACATCCAATTGACGAGTCGTAAACAGAACGAAATGAGCATCATGGATCCCACTGTTAACCAAATCCCGTCGATTCTGTATTAACTTGTGTCGTAGTAGTTATATCGAGACAATCCTCACAGGACGCATACATTCCAACCAAGACTGATCAAATTTCAGTCAAAATACCAATAACGGAATAATTCAAACCATTTCAAATTAAATCAGTTCCTTTCGTAGTTTGCTTTTTTTTATAATTTGTGTGTTATTAAGATGAATAAATTCTGTTATACTCTTGTACTAATCATAATACGTGTATGATTGCTTTTCCTTTAATTTTGCTAGAATATTGTAGTTTCATTTTCAATTCATGTTCTGGTATTGATATGCAATGTACCAAATATTTTTGTCTCGTGATTACTTTTTGGTAGTGCTTGTAAAAAAGAAAACTGACAATACCGTGAAGAAATGAGCCGATGATAATGAAACAGCAATAATAAAATCTTTAATGTATCATTTGGAATAAGAGATTTAGTTTCTCCATAAGTTGTTACTTCTTACTTTTTATGAAGGACAGTAATAAAGATATCTCAGGACAACTAAAAGACCACTCTAAAGAGTTATCCTTGATAATATCTCAAGTGAGTAAGTTGTACGATATCTGATACCCTATTTATTGGGCTGTAGCGTACAATAAGATGTTAGCTCAACAAAAATGTTTTGAAGCCCTCTTGTCTGGTGTTTTGAGGTCGTTGCGTTATATTTCTCTTTCACGTGTTGATTCATGATTCGAGACTGCTTCTGCTGTATTTTTGACCTTTTTTCAGTGTTTTTATGCCGTTTTGTTGCACGATTGCTCATATTTATTTAACTACTTATGTCTTAGTTCCGAAGAATGTCAATTCGTCAATGATAGGGATCGATTGGTACGTGGCACTCTACTGAAAGCATTGTTGCACAAGTTTGACTGTACAAATGATGATACAAAGGCGCTCATTCCATTCAACTCAACTGATCGTCAACCTTTTTCAATGCATTGTGCATTACATGCGGATCGTAAGTAAACAATTTAATTATATGTATTAAACATATAAAGTTCTCTGTCAGTTTTTCTTGTTGAATAATTTGATGGAAATACTGAGTACTGTTCACCATTTTACAAAACAAGCAAGTGAAAACTAGAATATACACTATTGTTAAAAGGGCCATTCGGCTCTATGATTTCACCTAGTTTATGCTTATTTTAAAAATTAGTTCACCAACACTCAATAATTAGAATATCTAACATGATCTTTATTTCTGGATTAATGCTGCAGCTATTTAACGTTGTTAGCATGTTGCTCAATTAGCAGTGTTTTCATTGTCTTGTAACCTTTAATTAATTTTAAACTTCGTTCATCATACAAACTTCCAGTTATTCATATTAGGCCGTATTGCAATGTTCTGTTCACTTGTTTGATGTTTTTATTTTCATGTTGTATTGTGTCACAGGCCATTAGTTTTTCATCATACGACATTCATATCCGCGAAAAGCTTTTCAAAATTTACCATTTTGGTGTCTTATATATTGTGTAATATTGGCTTTTCTCTCTTTCATGAACACAGAAAAATTTCATTCAACTTCATGTGATAATTGTTATAGCATACAAAGAAATTGTACACTACCAGATGGTTGTATTTTACAACGTATACTTTCCGTTCAATTATTGATCACGACAGATATTGCTTTTATCTTTCCGCATTATAAACGTGTACGTACTTTTTTAACATCACATGGATGGACATGGTGAGTAACAATAATTTTAAATGGAGAAATATTATTTTACTCACAGACGTGGACTTATTCACGATCAATTAATAATATTATTTGGTGTGTGTTCAAGTTAAACCCCTCAAATTAGGTGATATTTTATGTATCTATGGTGTTTCTTTTTCGTATTTTGTGTACAGATTGTAAACAGAGTATCAACGTTTTGGATTATATAGACAGAAACATTTATTTAGATGTCTAAGTTTTCAGTTTCTTGTAGTATTGCTAAATTTTGTTTGTCAGCTTACCCAATCAAATATTTATCTAAGATTGTTTGTAAGGAATTTAATCTCTCATGGTTATATATATAACAGTTAAGAAAATCACGATACCGCTCCACTTTGTTTTTTATTATTTTATATTGTGTCTTGTTGTAGTGTTTTAACATGGTAGGTTGGTGGTCGTATACTAAAAATCCTTTGTTTAGAATTTTCTGTATGTACATACATATCCACATGTATAAACATATTTCCATTAAGTTCGTAGGGTCTTCAGAAAAATCAATGGTTGATTATTTTCATCCCATATCAACTTTTGATATCCATAAAAGAGAGTGTAGAATGAAGAATTCACTAGCAGTAATGCCATTTGTCATTATTCTTCCCTTTCTATGCTGTTTTAAGTTTTCGATGGATTGCACAACATTTCTTTCCACTTTTGTAATCTTACCTGTTTTATAACAATATTGTTTCGCCTGTCTATGCGTGAGACCTGATAGGTATACCTACAACTACTATCACGTGCTACTTAAAATTAATGATCTACAAATTACATTATAAGTTGTTCATTTAGGGATTGTTAAAAAGGTATAATCATAGTGTCACATTACTATCTCTGTACATCTTTCTAGTTTGCTTGTTATCATAGGTTCTTAAGTGTTTTTGTTTTCAAACTAGAAACTGTAGAAACTATTTGATTCTTCAGATTTTGTCACTATTCACTCCATCAGCAGTGTACGGTTTTATTCTCTTCCTGTATGTCATTTGATTTCTTCTTATCATATGTTGTTATTAACCATTAAATCCCAGACATTAGCCTCTACGTCACTTCAAGTGCATATCTAACTATAAATGGAATGTTACTCGTGGCTATCTTTATCCCCGAATATCTTGTGAAAGACAAATACACAATTATTCTGCTACCTAGACGTGTCTTTTTATCCGAACATATATCGACTTTAGTTAAATAGAATAAAAATCAAGTAAGAACTATTAGTAGGCTCAATTCTTTCTGTGACTTTAACAGATTTAATGTTAATCAACGCATTTGCTTTCTGTCTTAACTCAACAGTAAACAGTTGATCGAACTATATTTTAACTCTTATTTGTAACATCTGTCTGCTACAAACTATGAGCCTTGTTTCATAATGCAGATGTAATCAAATGTCTATTATAATCGCTGACATACTTTGGTTGGTTCTATGTGAAAGCATTTTAGATTTTAGACATGATTCTTGATATCATTAACGCGTTCGAATAGCGGATAGCGTTCACCTAATTTATTGTCAGAACGTATGTGTAGTAAACATACTTTATCCACTTTAATCCTATACAGACTTTTGTTATATGCTTTTGTCCCTTCTCAAAGTGGGACATCTGTTTGTCTTTGTTTGTTATATATTGTTTGCAACTTTGAACACAATATTGTTTCTCTTACTAAAATTTTGTATTCTTTGGTCAAAATAACGCTTTTCAGGGAGATGTGGCTTAAACTAGCACAGAAAGGTGAAGTGTCAAAATATTTGGACACACAAGAAATCGCTGAAAGTTTTGACATAGTAAGCTTATTTTCTTCTTGTTCTCTCTAGATTATGGTAATTGGAACTTCTGTTATATAATCGAAGGTCTTTTCTAAAAAATGGTGGCTTTTCGTCTGTCATACGATACACTTTCACCACTATGTCGCGATTATATCGAATCACAAGGGAACCCCCATTTAATTTTACATGAGCTTATAGGTAGAAATAATTTCTCTCAAACCTTCGAACACTCTTCACATTGCCTATTAAAATTTCTACAGTTGCAACCTATTCATTTCAAGTACCAATGGTCTTCCTTACCAAGCCTTGTGATTGTGATTCGATGAATAAACGAGGTTTATTGCTGAAATGAGTAAGTAAAATGTGGAGTTATAGGTAGTCGTGAGACTTAATTATTGACACAAGCCCTCGAATGTACCGATTTCAAATAAAAAACCACCATCCAAAAGATTAAATTTTTAATTTAATAAGACAACATGCTTATCTACAAATTATTGTCAGAAAAATATGCATTAATTGATGACAAAAGTGATTAGAGGTAACCAGTTTTGTACGTTACCCTCCAGTGAGTTAAGGCCTGACTGTCAGGCTTAGTTCTAGTTCATCATATGGAATTCAACCTTAATGGTCAGTTCGCTAATGTATTGCGATAGACTTTTCAAATACATTTTATTGTGATTTTATATGCAGTGAAACAATTTAATTACTCATAAGAACCAGCTTTTATTTTATATTCCTTTGACTTTTGTAGGTTGAAAAATATTTGATCGCCTTGATTGCTCGGGATTGCTCAATTATGATTACTGTGCAACGTGCAAAACCTGAGTAAGGATTTGGCTTATTTTCATATGAGAGATGCCATTTTCATACCACTTTAAATGTAGAAGGTCTGTGTATCTAATTCGTACATCATTTTATCTATTTCCTTAAATACGTCCCCTATAAGTACCAAATACTGGTACATCTGTTTCATTTCCATACAAAATCTTACGAAGTTATTGAAGCCACTTTTATTTATACTAAAAAAATGAAAGATACTTTCGTATAACAATATGAAACCTATTTACAACCCACATTAAACGTCAGCGCAGTGAATTTATGCTACCTCTCATTGTTTTAAATCTTATTTCATAGTCCTAATACAAAGTCAGTACTCCTGTTCGTCACTAGTGTGCGAAAAAAGTCAGTGGATTAATCTTTGTTACTGTGTTCTAAGTGAATTCAACAAGTATCTAGTCGAACCGTAAATGTACTATTTTGTGTTCATTAAGAGTTATCTAATCTGTAAGCTAACGTCCCACCAAACATGGAGTACTGAAAGATTGTAATAGTAACACTGATATTTTTATGTTTTGAAATATTTTACACTTAGGTCTATTACAATTTCATTTTATTGTTATCTCCCCTCTTTTCAAAGCTGTCCACTACCATCGTCTATTATTTCGGGCACATGTTGTATTCCCAGAATGTTAATTAGTTGTGCCATTATAGATCTAGATCCGAAACCCTTGGATAAACTACGTGATCGACTAGATTTGGAGACAGCAGTTGCAATGGAAGCGATCAATCGACAGTTTAAATTGCTTTTACCGAAAAGTCTTTCATAATATACGTGCTCAGATTCTTGTATTTTCTGTAATGGTTTTCAGCATTTGTTTTGCCTTGACTTTTAAATACTCCCTTTTCTGGATACATATATACCTACCGCCTAGTTTGGATATCCATATTGTAACTAAAATTTTCTTTTCTCATATAAAACAGTACTTTTGTTCTGTGTTGGATGATCTTTAGTGATAAAAGAACGTATGGGAAGTAATTCAAATACCTCTATTTTGTAGATTTGTACTCGCGTGCCTATTTTGTATGCATGATATAAATCATAACAAATGTAAGTTATTAGAACTGTTATGTCTCTTTTGAAATCAACTGGATATTTCAGTTGATCCGAGTACTACAGTGTGCTTCCAAATTATAATGTAAGATTTTTCGTTATTATTATTGGTTTGTTTGTGCTCTCGTTTTAATGTCTAGATACGACGGCAAAGTTTCAAAGTTCTTTTCTTGGTTCCCGACCTAACATTCACAGACTTTTTGTTATTGCTACATTTTTCCCCTTCACAAAACGAACTAACTCTGTAGAATTTCGCAACATTTTGTTATCTGTACAGTGTAAAATAAAAAAGTATTGTCATCTTGTCAATAAACTTCACAAGTCAACTAAAATGTCGTTTTCCTTGGCCACATAAATAAACATAGATGTGAATTAACATAAGAGATGTCGTTTTGCTAGCACAACATATAAGGGACTTATTTCCGTACGAATAAAGAGTCATTTTATTTTCGGTTCTCGTGAATGCTCACAACCTATAGTGCTTAAAAATCGAAACCACAAAATGATTTTAGGTCATTTACATAAATGTGTTCATTTGGAAGCTATTTTAATTATGTAGACGTATTTAGGAGGTTAAACAAAGTATTGCAAATATATTTATTACATGGAAGAATGTTCTACAATAAATAAATGCTAAAGAGCTAGAAATAAGTATCTATGTGGTGAAAAAACGGTAACAAAAATTAAGAATGAAGTGAGTAAAGCCTAGTTAACTAGCATAAGAAAACTGAATAAAAAGGGAGTCGGGAAAAAGTATTTTATTTATTTATTTGAACACGTAAATATTGGTACGAGAGTGCGCCACACAAAACATTGAGAATTTAAAGAGAAGAAAAAAGGTAAGGAGGGTTTAAAAAAAGAGAACAATAAGGAAGAGATTAGTGTGAGGTAGTGTAATAATAATGATGGGGAAACGAAAAGGTACAATCAGAAGAAATTTTTCAGTTAAGGAAGATACAACCACTTTTTACGAAGAAGGTTACAGCAGGATCGCCACTGACTCCTATTCTGAGCCATATCTGATAACATCTCTAGCTACTGTGTAGCACCATCTCTCGAAACCAGTCGGGAAAAAGACGTAATGATGTAACTATTTTGTTGTCTATGTTCCGCTAAGCATATTTTTATTTGTGATATTCGCAAAGGTCTTAGTGATACTGTTATGCTTACTCTATCCATGGCTAAATTAAGGTCACTATAACACCCACAAATTAAGTTGGTGTAAATTATTTATCATAGAAGAGTAGTGGGTAAATATGAATTGAGAGTACTATGTTTGAAATTGGTATAGATGGTTTACTCACAGGTCGACTTTCTGATGTCAACTTCCGAATTTTAAATATTCGCATGAGCTACTGAGTAAACAGCTTCATAAAAGCTCATAGTACATAAGTACCGCTTATTGTATATATTTATTTATTTGAGCACAAATATTGGTACAAGAGGGCACCAAATAAATAGGCGCTACACAAAACAATGAGGATTTGAAGAGGAGAAGGTAAAACCGAAAGGTAAGGATCGTTAAAAAAAGAGAACAATAAAGAACAGATTAGTGTAAGGTAGTGTAATATTAATGGGGGAAACAGAAAAGTACAATCAGAAGAGACCTTTCAGTTAGGGAAGAAACAACCATTTTTTATGAAAGCAAAAAAAGGTTACAGCAGGGTCGCCACTGACTCATATTCTGAGCTATATCTGATAACGTCTCTAGCCACTGTGTAGCACCATCTCTCGGCCTCCAACCAGGGAGTCGTGAAGGACTGACACAAGCCAGCCTTTTGCAACTTTCTTTCATGCCACGACACCATGTCATGAACTGACCACCGCTCCGCTTTTTTCAACCAGTCTCAGCGTCGGCAAATAATGCACGACGTGGAATTCTCTGGGACGTCATTCGTAGAACATGTCCAAGCCACCGAAGTCGGTGTTTCAAGATGGCGACATCGATTGCATTATCATCTCTGTGCCCGAACACACGATGCCGAACCTCTGCATTACTAACATGGTGTTGCCACTGGATGTAAGCAATCCTTCGGAGATAACGATGATCGAACACAGAGAGTCGTCTAACGTCCTCAACTCGGAAAGGCCAGGTTTCACAAGCTGCTCTTACCGACGCGTTGTAGATCCGACATTTTACAGCCAGACTGACATCACGAAGGCGCCAAAGATGGCCCAGATTAGCATAAGCCGCTCTGGCTTTCACTATACGTGCATTGATCTCATCACTCACACCCCCACCAGCACTTATGCAGCTACCCAGTCTTGTAGAAGTACTTTGCATTTAGAAGGTGCAAAGCACATACCATACCTACGGACACTGATTGCCAACTGATTAAGTGCGGATTGCATGCCTTGGGCATTGTCGCACAGTAAGACAATATCACCTGCATTCTCAAGGTCGAGAAGTCTTTCTCCAGGCAACAAATCCACAGCGCCATTACTTACATCCATCAGAGCTGTTTCCAGAATAACATCGATGGCAAAGTTGAAGAGGAATGGTGAGATTGGGCAACCCTGTGTAACCCCACCACTCGAATGGAACAATGGAGAGAGGTGGTTGTATGCCCTCACTCTGCCTGAGGTGTTTGTATATAGGGCTTTTAGGATGTTAATAAACTTCTCAGGCACACGCTTCTTCAATTGACAATCCCAGAAAACAGTCCTGTCCAACGAATCGAAGGCAGCCCTGATGTCGAGAAACACTACGATTGTTGACCTTTGATAAGTATGGCGATGTTCTAACATTTGGCGGAGGGTGAAGATATGATCAATACATCCTCGACCAGAACGAAACCCAGCCTGCTCCTCGCGAGTCAATCTTTCTCGGGTTTTGAACAACCTATGAATTATGACGGAAGTCAATAGCTTGGACGCAATCGGAAGTAAACTTATCCCTCGATATTTGTTACAGGAACGACGTGAACCCTTCAATGAGTTGTAAGGAACCAGAAGAAACCCAGTGCTTGAAAGCGGAACGTTTCGCGAACCTACTACTGACTGTACTCGCCATTTTCATGGTGTCATGCAATTGCAACCAATGCTCATCTGTGCTTTTCGGTGGGATGGTAGCTAGATTAGAGGCTTGCAACAGAAGTCGCAATCAAGCTGCGGACATCAATCCTTTGGTGATGATCACTTCGTTGATCACTGAAAAGTAAGGCAAGATTGGCGCAGACCAAGGCATGGTCAGAGTCCAGATAGGTACTCCAAAAGGAGCGGCAGTCTTGTACACAACCACGCCAGCGGTAGCTGATCGCGATGTGATCAATCGGAGTCCAGGCTTGAGATGCAGAGGGAGGACGCCAGGTGGCACATCGGCGATGACTGTGCTGAAAGTTAGTGCTAGCCAGGAACAGGTTGTGGTCTGTGCACGGTTGCAGTAGACGGTCCCCGTTATCTGTCCTGCGACCAACGAGTCACCATCGGCCACCTAGACGGTTCTCTTCTGTGCCTAAACGCTCGACCTGAGCATTCAAGTCTCCGGCTAGTACTACAATATCTGTCGAACGCACTTTCTGGAGAAGAACAGATAACTGGTGGTAAAACTCATCCTTGATTGCATCCGGGTTGCAATCTGTCGGGGCATAGGCGGCGATGACGAAAAGACATCGTTTCTCACGCCGATTTCTTCTCACTTTGATGGAACTTTCTAACCTACCAGCACATAACCGACTGTTAATGGGGATCCAATCGACTAGTGCTGCCTCAGCTCTAGCGCTTAGCGCGAAACCAACGCCAGCAAGACCAGATGAAGATGCCACAGGGTCCCCGGATAAGCGCACGTGAAACAAGCTTTCTGAAGCGACAGAAGGATAGCGAAATTGTAGCCCTACATCAGTCTTGAATACGGGTCCCGGATAGACAGCAGACATGAATATAAAGACTTTCTAAAGACATAGCCAGCCCTATCTGTTGTCCGACCTGCATAAATGTACGAACGTTGAAGGCAGCCAGTTTGAATGTTGCACGTGGTTTAAGAAAAACTGCTTCAGTCCTCGTATTCGGTGGTAACATACAATTTTCAACTGGACAATGACTCGAGAACGTTTAGATACGGTCGAATTTCCACCATAGACGAGCTGCTGTATAAGTCGAAATAAGTATAAACAGAGTGGGAATAAAGGAGGGTGAATAATGACGTAGTAAATAATAATAATAATAATAATTGAGTCATTTGAATGTTCGTCAAAGCAATAGAATTAGTTTCCATGATCATAAATAGTTCAGTTCATTAATTGTGTGTGGGCTGCGATACTGCCCAGGTGCCCCAACCGAAGCAGGTGGTTATAGTAGGGGGCCACACCTCGAGCCTTTGACCTAGTGGTCTAACCCACAAGGCAGTGGAGCATCGTGAGGAGATACAGTTCCCGTGACCAAGAAATTGGTACATACGCCATACATACTGGAGCCCACGTGCACCATTGGTTTGGAATCCGGTTAAAGCGCCGGACATTCGCTTTTCGTCCTCTCATTTTCGTAAACAACACCACCGTCACGAAAAGGCAGTGAGTAGGACTTCCCTGGCAGAGGCTGTATACACATGACCGTGTGAGAGCATTTCGAGAGGGAGGCCGAACCCATCCCACTCTCGGCCATACCAGGGCATTTGGGAGCTTGCAGCTTATGGTGAAGCTTATAGTTGTCAGGGAAAACGTTCTACCAACCCGTTTGCTTGTGGGTGGTAGGCGGTCGTTCGGAAGCGAGTGATTCCTAAAAGTGTGGTCAGGCGACGGTAAAGTTCAGACTAAAACTGACGTCCGGGATCTGTTGTGATGGTTGAAGGGCAGCCGAAGTTTGCTACCCATCGTCCGATGAAGGTGAGAGCTACTGTTTCAGCAGTAATGTTCTTGATAAATACTGCTTCTGGCCACCGTGTGAAATAGTCTACGCAGGTTAAGAGATAAGACTATCCATTTGAATCTGGTAAAGGTTCTACCAAATCCAGATGAACATGGTCGAAACGAGCATCTGGAGATTTAAATGAGCTTAAGGGACATTTATTGTGTCTGATGACCTTAGATTTTTGGCAGCTTGCACAGGAGCGTGCCAACTCCCTCACGTCTTTATTCATGCCAGGCCAGCAAAACCATTATGCTTTAAGCTTGATCGTTGCATGAACGCCTGTATGAGAAATTTTGTGCAACGTATTGAAGACGTTGCGTCGATAACGTTTTGGCACGATTGGGCGATCCCTACCCGTAGATGTGTCACAAAGTAAGGTCTCCTCACCTGTTTCCATCTGTTTGATGCGTAGTTTCACGTTTGTGGACGATAACTCGTGCTGAAGATCAGTGTCTTCTTTTTGAAGCTCGGCGAGTTTAAGAAGG